CTTTCCCTCATTCTTTCTATATGCCTCTTTTCTTATCAGTTTAGCATTAAAAACAAAGGAATGGCTTGGTGTGCTCACTGCTTTGAGGGTGAAGGGAAGAGCCAATGCCAGCAGCTTCTCCACTGCTCCTTGCATTTATGCTCTCTTGGCCCTGTTGGCATTTGAGTGTGCAACACTGAACCAGGGCAGTGACAGCTGGATAACCAGGGCACTAGAGTGTGGGACTTAGGAAAAGACCACACTGTCAGCTATTCACCATGATCTCTTTATCGCCCTGCAGCAGTGGCTAGGGGCTTAGGCTGTTTGGCTGACAGGTCTGGGTCTTAATCCACTTGGAAATTCTGGAGGCATTAAATGAACGTAGCTTTCAGGCCCAGGACCCCTAACTTTACCTTGAAGAAACCAAACCTCACTTGCCAAACAGCTGAGGAGCACCAAACAGGTGGGACTGTTGCTCAGTCCTCACCCTAGCCTTACTCTGTGATTTAGGGTCTTTCTACAATGGGAGCCCATTTTCCTACCTCTGTTTAAATGGCTACTCAAAGAGCAGAATATTAACAAGCAAAGTATTTAAACAGCTGCTTCCCAGTCACTTTTGTTCCCCACCGCTATCATGTACGCCTTAGAAACTGACTCATTCTTTTGACTTATGAGAGAAACATTGAACAACTGTTTTCACCTGATGGTTTTAAGCTGCACTGGAAGGACTAGTTCCTATTTTGAAACACTAAAACTATAATACTATATAGCAGTGCATGGCAAATATTTTCTTTATATAGTTTTCATTTCTCATTGGAGATTATACTGCATAAAAGCTATTGGAAGCTCCCCATTACTGATAACTAGATGCAAAATTCTCAAAGGACTTGGGTAGAAAACTGATTGTAATCTTACAAGCTCAATACCATTTATCAGGGGGTTTCTCTTCGGCAGAGCCAAGAGAGCCCCACAATCTCCTACTTACCATGTGGCAATATTTATTTATTTATTTGGAAGATTTCACCTATCGCTCTATATTTATATATATTTAAAAAATGTAACTCCACCTTTTTTCCTTTCTTCTGTTTAAAAGAAAAATAAAATTCATTTCAGCTTCGGTTAGCTTTTCCTCTCTGTATTACTACATAAAAGCAGGTCGGAATATGAGAATAAAAGGAACTATAGGAGGGAGCATTGGGAAAATATAAAGAAAGCGAAGTTGTAAAAGAATATTACTATTTTAAAACGTTCAGTTTTTCCATTCTTTAATACCCAGCAATTTTGATTAATTCAGACTGAATTATTGAAAACGAAGAAAAAATTTTTTTATCAATATTGGATTTCTGATCACTCTACCTCTAAAGTGTTTCTTTGAAAGAATTTTTTTTTTACTTGAAAAATATCCACAGACACAACCACACAATCCCAGTAAACCAGATACTCTGTACTTAACACATACACAGAACTACTGCGCTGTGAAATTTGATAGTAGGACGAGATAATGAATATACATGTCTTCTCTTTCTGAAATTTGTGTCCTCAGCATCCCTTCTTTAATTGCTATGACCAGTAACCAAAATACAGGAGGCAAAGATGCCTATTACACATTTACATCTCTGCATTCAAATTGACACTAGCTGGAGCTTACAGTTCTTTATGACTTTAGCCATCAGTCTCTCTTTTAACAATTAATATAAAAGAACTTTGTATAGGGTTCACTATTTTGACTGGCATTAAAATGACCTTCTGACAAAGACTACTAAGGGGATTGTCTTCTGATTATGTCCCTTTAAGAATCTGAGTACCAAAGTCTTTCAAACTGTAGAGAAGGGGAATGGATAGCCATCAGGATAGATATAAGAGTACAGATCAAATGCTATATATCTTTGATCACATAAAACAGACTTATCAAAGGCAGATTATTGTTTTAAGAGTTCTCTCCAGTCTTTTTTTGTTTTAACAGATAACTTGGACTCTGAGTATGAGGTTCATCCCTCCATATCATTTCAGTTTTATTTCTGGCCCAAAGACTTTAAAATTTGACAACCCAGGGAATAGAGCAATACCAAAATTATCATTTGAGAATAACACAGGCCTCCATTCCATTGTAGAAGGATAATTAAACATTGTAGAGATAAAAAGATATCCTGTGGATATTTCTCTTTCACAAACTTAGAAGTTTCTCTGTTCATGAAATTTCTCTCTAAAGAAAGAAAATTTTAAAGCTTTTAACACAACACAGTTAGTGGGGTGAGGATGGAAAAAAGTAAAGAAAATGTGTGTATATGTGTGTGTGTGTGTGTATATATATATAGTATATATATACACACTATATATATATATACTATATATATATAGTATATATATACACACACACACATATATATATATATTTAAGTTTTATTACGTATATACATCTGACTGGTAGAAACTTTACAAACCTAATCACAGGTAGGGTTTATAGTAGTAAAAGCCCAATCTTTATCTTGTCTATAGAATTATCGATCCTTGCTGAATAAAGATATCATCACAGCCATCACTCATGTCTGTAGAGACACTTAGTGTTTATATAGAACTCTTATGCATCTTAACTATAACTACATAGCTTCCACTTCTAGCTGTGAAAGAAGAACTGGTACTAGACTTGCTGTCCTGCCAAAACAATTATAAAACAAAACATATGAGGCACTTATTTTCAGGCACGGGGTAGCGCAAGACTATGACCTTGGGAGAAGTTATGTCTCATGACCATCCTACTTTTCTGCCTTAGGACCACTTGACAGGGAGAGGGAACCCAGGCAGAGTGGCAACCTCACTGAGCTGAGAAAGCAGCTGGACTTTGTGGGATAGGGTAGCTGAGAAAGGGGAGCTATGCAAAGGGGAGATTTCAGAAGTCTGCATGAGCATTCACTGTAGGCCTTTAGACAAGAACTGGACCACATGTACATAGAGAAAGATTCAGCAAGACCTAACAAAGATCAACTGCTACAGAACTGAGGGAGGTGAAGAGTGAATGATACCAGAGTCCATAAAATGCTAAGAAACATTAAAAATTCAACTAAGCCAGGGTAAAGAGACTCACTAAGTGCATCAGCTTTTAACTGGGACCACAGAAAGGCCCTATCTTAGGTGGAAGGACTAAGGAAATAGAAAGGAATAGATCGTAAAACCAAATTTAAAACTGAAGCTAACCTGCTCTAACAGAGAATTATAAGGAAGTCTGACAAGACCACCCCAATCTGCCAATAGTTTATCTGTCTGCCAGGACAAAAATCAACACCCTTTAAAGGAAGATGACATAATCTAGACTTAATAAATGGTATCATCCACACTTTACGAGAAGAAATAAGGAAAATGGCCCACAGCAAGAGAAAATGCAATCACTAGAAACCAACTATGAAGATCAGATGCTGGAATTAGCAGACAATAACTTTAAAGCAGCTATTATAACTAAATTTAGGGATCTTAATGGAAAGTTTTATCATAATGAACAAACAGATTAGGAATCTCAAGAGAGAAAGCAAATGATAGAACCAAAAAGAAATCTAGAATTGAAAAATACAGTATCTGAAATAAAAAATTTATTAAATAGACTTTATTGCAGTTGCAGATGAAAGAAGAAATGTAGCCATTTAATATAAAGAAAGTTAATATATCTAATCTGAAGAGAAAAAACAAGTTTGAAAAACAATGACCAAGTTCCGGTCAAGACGGTGGAGTGAGTAAATACTGTGCTTGCCTCCTCCCACGACCATACTGAGATTACAACTAAATTATAGAATAATTAACCTGAAGAACTATCTGAAGACTAGCTGAATAGAAAACCTATAACTAAAGATATAAAGAAGAAGCCACATGGAGACTGGTAGAAAGGGTGGAGATGTGAAACAGGCTGGTTTCACATCCATGCAAAAATCCAGAGGGATATCTCAGCTGCAGAGGTCCCCGCTGAATAGCAAGGGATCCCAGCCCCACACCAGGCTCCCCATGGCAGAGCATCAGGGCCTGGAAGAGGAGCCCCCACAACACCTGGCTGTGAAAATCAGCAGTAATTCTGGGTGGGACAGAGGGATGCTAGAGACCCAGGCATTTCTCTTAAAGGGCCCAAGCACAGATTCTCTCAGAGCACTCACCCTGGGCTCTGGTGGAGGGACAGCAAGCAGCTTGGGAGGTGTCAGAAACATATAGGGAGAGATTGAGTTGAATGGCTTCAGAGCAACAGCTGGAGGGACAGCTTCCAGTGTCCCTGTGTTGAGCCCTCCCCACCATGACAAAATCTGTACCTGCATTGGCCTGGTAAACTCCACTTGCTCCACCCTAATGACTCCCTGCGACCCCACCTTACCCAACTTAAGCACCGCTAGAGGCTTTTTCAGCAGTCAGTGGCCGCAGGCAGCTGGGATTGGCTGGTGCTGTGGACTTACTTGTACAACTCTCAGGGGTCCATGGACCTCAGGCAGGCAGATGGCTTCAGTGTGCTCTGAGCCTTTTGAGTGGCTCCAGGATCAGAACTGATACCAAATCTGAATCAGCACTAACCTGGTAAACATGACTTGTCTCACCTTGTCTCTCACTCCCTGAGACCCCACCCCTTCCAACTCATGCACCACTGGAGGCCTTTTTAGTAGCTGGTGGGCAGCCAGTGTTGGCGCTCACTGCTGAATTTCCTAGACAACTCTTGAGGGTCTGTGGGTACCAGAAGGGTAGTGGCTGGCCTCAGTGTGCTCTGAGCCTTTTGAGTGGCCCCAGGCTCAATACTGGGGGCCAAATCTGAATCTACAGTAACTTGGTGAACACAACTTGCCCACCCTGGTAACTCCCTGAGACCTCACTCTACCCAAGTTGCTTACAGCCCAAGGCTCTTTCAGTGGATGAGTAATAAGTTCAGCTGGCAGGTAGCGGTAGATCTTGGGGTGCCCCAGGACTTTTGCTGAGCTGCCCCAGGCCTTGTCCTGGTGGTGGTTGGCCTCTCCCATATGACTCCAGGTCCAGCACAGGCAGCAACCAACTGCAGATCGCTTTGTAGCTCCTACCAGGTAGCCCCAGGCCAGTCACAGGTAGCAGTGAAATTTGGCCTATATGGGAACCCCTCCCAAGAGGCCCTCAAATCAACACACCCAGAGGCTGGCTTCAGTCCACAGTAGAGCACCACCCAATTAGTCCCACAAGCAGCACACTTGAAGGGTGGTCTCGGCAGGCACCAAAGCCCACTGGGGAAAATCTCACTCTGTGAGGTAAAGCCCCGCACAACTCATATGCTGTGGTCATGGCCAATCCTCACAGTCAGTCACCCTGAGAGTCAGTCCCACCCACTGATGTGCCAATAGCCAAAACTCTAACTACAACAGGAGAACACATACAACCCACCCAAGGGACGCTCTAGGAGCATCTGGCTCAGGAGACCAGAGAGACTGCACCATTGGACCTCACAGGACACCTACTATGTAAGGCCACCCAACCAAGACTGGGAGATGTAGCAGATCTACTTAATACACAGAAACAAACACAGAGAGTCAGCCAAAATAAGAAGACAAAGAAACATGTACCATATGCAAGAACAGGAGAAAACTTGAGAAAAAGAACCAAACAAAATAGAGGCAAGCAACCTACCAGATACAGAGATCAAAACACTGGTGGTAAGGATGTATAAGGAATTTAGTGAAAACTTCAATAAAGAGATAGTAAGCACAAAAAAGGACACAGAAACCACAAAAAATTATCAGTCAGAAATGAAGACTACAATAACTGAAATTAAGAATACACTAGAAGGAATCAGATTAGATGAAGCAGAAGATCAAATTAGTGATTTGAAAAAAAGGTAGCAGAAAACATCCAATAAGAACAGCAAAAATAAAAAAGAATCAAAAAAAAAATGAGGACAGTTTAAGGGGACTCTGAGGCAACATCAGGCATAACAACATTTGCATCATAGGGGTAACAGAAGGAGAGGAGAGAAAGCAAGGGATTGAGAACCTATTTCAAGAAATAATGACTGAAAACTTCCCTAACCTGGCAAAGGAAATAGACATACAAGTCCAGAGAATTCCAAACAAGATGAACACAAAGAGGCCCATACCAAGACACATCCTAATTAAAATACCAAAGGTTAAAAACAAAAAGAATCTTAAAAGCAGTCAGAGAAAGGCAGTTACCTACAAGGGAGCTCCCATAAAATAGTCAGCTGATTTCTCAACAGAAGTTTTGTAGGACAGAAGGGACTGGCATGAAATATTTAAAGTGATGAAAAGCAAGGACCTACAACCAAAACTACTCTACCCAGAAAGGCTATCATTTAGAGTCAAAGGAGAAATAAAGAGCTTCCTAGACAAGAGGAAGCTAAAAGAGTTCATCACAACCAAACTAGTGTTACAAGAAATGTTAGAGAGATTTCTTTAAGAAGAAAGGGTGAGGGGGAAGGATAACATAATTATAAATAAAATGACAACAACCATATAATCGCTTTAAATGTAAATAGATTAAATTTACAGGCTTCTAGTAATATTCTTTTCTGATATATCTTCTCGGGCAAGGAAAACAAAAGAAAAAATAAATGAGATTAAATCAAACTAAAAAGTTTTTGGACAGCAAAGGAAACCATCAATAAAACAAAAAGACAATCTACTGAATGAGAGAAGATATTCATCAACAATACTTCTGATAAGGGTTAATATATATGTGTGTGTCTGTGTACACACACATACACATACGCCTCATACAATTTGACACCAAAAAAACAATTTAATTTAAAAATGGGCAGAAAATCTGAAGAACCATTTCTCCACATAGGACATACAGATGTCCAATAGACATGAAAAGATGTTTAATGTCACTAAGCATAAGAGAAATGCAAATTAAAACCACAATCACCTCACACCTGTCAGAATGGCCATCATCGATAATTCAAAAAATGACAAGTGTTGGTGAGGATGTGGAGGAAAGGGAATCCTTGTGCACTGTTGATGAGATTGCAAATTGGTGCAGCCACTATGAAAAACAGCATGGTGTTTCCTCAAAAAAAAAAAAAAAAAAAAAAGAACTACCTTATGATCCAGCAAATCCACTTCTGGGTATTTATTTGAAGAAATCCAAAAGACTAATTGAAAAAAATATATGCACCATGTTCACTGCAGCATTATTTACAATAGCCAAGACATGGAAACAACCTAAGTACTCATCAATAGACGATCGGATAAAGAAGTTGTGGTACATATATACAATGGAATACCACTCAGCCATAAAAAAAGAAAGAATGAAATTTTACCATTTATGACAACATAGACCTGGAAGGTATTATGCTAAGTGAAATAAGTCAATCAGAGAAAGACAAATACCATATGATCTCACTTCTACGTGGAAGCTAAAGAACAAAATAAATGAACAAACAAAAAAGAAACAGACTCATAGATACAGAGAGCAAACAGATGGTTGCCGCACTTGGGGGGGAAAATTGGGAGGGCTGGGTAGAAACCATGAAGGGATTAAGAAGTACAAATTGGTAGTTACAAAATAGTCAAGGGATGTAATAACTCTGTATGGTACCAGGTGGGTACTAAACTAATTGG